AATTAGGGGGAGCATAGGTTTTGGTGGAAAAAACCCTCATTTCTTAAGATGAAAGACTGGAATCGGAAGAAGGGGGGTTCTTCCCCACGAAAGCTTATGCTCCCGATACTTCTGTTAGTCTCAAAGGTGCCACAGGACTCTCTGTTGCTTTTTACAGATTCAGACTAACATGGCTACCCCTCTGATACTTTGAAAGTTGATGATGTTCCACAAACATGACAGAGTTTCCAAAAGCAAAAGTGTGGTGTGTCCCCCCCAGCTTTAGTTATGTACTAATTTCAGAGTGATGATTTTTTTTTAACTCCACTGCGTACACATCATAACATATAGTTTAATATACTGATGATCTTACTTTACTAAAGTAAAGGCTTGGAAGGATTAGTTTTTTGTCGCTAAATGTTAGTAAACATCAATTTCACTGTATACACACAAACCGACAAGAAAATATTTCCATCTGTGATCATCAAAATTTACAGATAGGCAAAGCAAGAAGCATTTTTCTTTAGAACTTATTAGAGTTTGATTTAAGGATATTTACTTCATATATTTTGACACGATGTTGACAACTTGTGTTTTACCCGTTATGGAGCTTTAACTTTTTGAATTTCAGCATCTACTGTCCTTATATAATTATTGTCTAGTCCCCCCAATGATGAAAATACAAATAAAAGCTTAAAACCAATAATTAGCACAGCTGTGAAAAATTAAATTGATTAAAATAGAAAAAATGGTTAAACAAACATTGATATTTGTTGAAATTATTAAAAAAACAAAAACAAAAAATTGAATTCTGCCAAAGCTAGATATAGTGCTGAGAAAGAGTAAGTGTCAAGAGGTTGTAGTGTAACTTGACTTTTTCCAGAAGGGGGTAAAACAGCTAATGTTTATCCAAAAATCTTACCAAAATGACTTCAGTATGGTAGGCTACTTGAAAGCCAGCAACCTCTGTAGCAATAAGTAAGTAGAATAGCTGTTTATTTTACAGACCTACCTATCTTGTTTTGAACACTTTTAGTGAAAAAAATAGCATCCTATTCTGTGTCTGAACTGACATTTTTCTAAGTCCGTTAAGGACACGCTTTACATCTTTTTAAAGAGTTCAAACCGAACAATTCAGAATATCTGCACACTGACCTCTGATTGTACTGATACAAGGATTGCTTTGATCTACAGAATAAATATTGAATTTTGGTGTAGGCTTCCCCATCACAGACTGACTGCTAGAGTTTTCAGTGTGTCCAGAAAGGTTAATTAAAGTTAACCAATCAAAATTCCTCAATAGTCTTAAATGACTTAAACTCTGATTATATTGGATTTTTTTTGTTTTCTTAGAAAAAAAGTGTATGGATTAATTTGCTTTTGTAGTAGAATTGCACGGATGTCATGTGGCTGAAGGATTAAGTCCTTTTATTTTTAAAACAGTTGCTAGGGTGTTTTAAACCCTTCCTTTTTATCCCTGTTTCCTGTTTTTTGTTTTTGTTTTTTGTTTTTACAACAGCAAAACAAAAAAATAACATTTTATTCACTTTTAAAGGGGAATCTATTTGTCTTCAAAGTTGACATGGAAAAATAAGAAATTGTAGTTCTTCTTCTAGTTTGGAGTAAGAGGGAAATTTCCAGATATTATTGAGCATTAGGAATGTAAACAGTGATAATAGTTTGGGGTTTTTTCCTTGAAAGCCTTATTTTAAATAAAATTGAAATATTTCATTATTGGAGTAATAATCTCTGGCAAACAAACGCTGTTCATTTCTGTCAAGAAGCAAAAAGAAATCCACTGTTTTCCCTGCGAAAGTATTGTTTGTACATGCGGCTATGCAACTAGATCATGTTTATCTTTTTTTTTTACTCTTTCTCTTTGCAGAGTATTGGAAAAGGGTCCTTGTGGTGTATAGACCCAGAATATAGACAAAATCTCATTCAGGCTTTGAAAAAGACACCCTATCATCCATATTCACATGTGTTCAATACACCTCCCACATCTCCTCAGGCATATCAAAGGTAAGAAAACTAGAACACCTTTTGTAACGACTATTATTTCTATTGAGCTGTACTTCTTGGATAAGACAGTAAACATAACTAATCACAATAGTTATGACAATATGGTAGTGAACAAAATATTGAAGTATAATGGTCAAATCCTTTACTTAATCTACAGTGTTCCTTACCCTCTTGATCTCTTGGATGATGGCAACATGTTGATCCTAGTAAATCCATAGACTGGAAGAAGTAGTGTTTCCATGGCTAATTTATAACATTTCTCAGCAAAAGCAAAATGTAAAATGAACACATGCAAAAGCAAATGGGAAGCTTTAAAATATCAGTTTGTCCTGTTTCAGTAGATAAAAATATCTGACTCTAGCAAGCAGGGTGCTAGTGAATTATTTTTCTCTTGAGCTTGATTGAGTAGTCTTTTAAGACTGTGTTGTCAATGCAACTGTCAAGTCTCCATGTAAACCCTACATCTGGTGATTTAAAACTCTTTTTGTTGTGGTTACTACGTGCTCTGTAGGTGAGTGCGTGTGCTTGCATTTATCTCAAAGCTGTGCAGTGGAGAACAATAGGGGCTTTCATTCTCACATAGTAATGAAATAGGTGTGTTTATCTGACCATTGCTTAGAAGTGAAGTGTTAGCTGCTAGGAGAGAGCATTTAAGATTGTGACCCACAAAGGAGAGAAGTAAATATCTGGTTCTCAATAGATCTGCTTCCTTTTAACTGCTAATATAGAATCTACATTTTAAAATGTTCTAGCAAATCTTGGTTTGATCAGAAATACCTTTTTGTCACTCGGACCTCGTGAAATGCATGTATTAAACCCCATAAAATCAACAGGAATTTTTGTCTGACTTTAGAAGAATGCCTGCTACTAGCCCTCTGGATTAATGAGTGATTTTGATGGTTTTTGTCTTTTCAGCATACTCTTTTAAAAATATGAGTCTAATATTTGTCCTGCAAGGAGGTGGCGATGCACAAAATGATTTCTTTCAAGTAACGTTAATGAAGTTCTTGTGCATCTCTGCTGAGCAGTGCATTCCATCACATGGCCAGACAATCAATCTTCACTCAGAGATTGGGAGGAACAGCTGGGCTTTCGCAGGAGACTGCTGTATGTCTGCCCTTGCTAGGCGATTAGCGTGATGGTAACCATAGTAACTAGAATGTCTCCATAGCAACGCATAGCTGAGACAGGTGCAGTTGCATCACAAGGCTGTTTGTTGCCTGGCAAAAGGACAGGCCATTAGTACTCAGATATACACTGTTGCCTTGGTAACATAACCCTGCATAGCAACTACAGTTGGCTTAAAACTTTTTTTTTAAATAAATGACATTGTACCTGTTTTTGTCTGTTTTCATATAAATCAACAGAATCATGCTATATGAGCTGACAGCTTGAGGTCATGTACTTTAGGAGATCAAATATAATGTGGGATTTTCTAAAGCAGTGGAGTAAAAATGGTAAAACTGCAGTGGAGGACCCAGTGCTTGTTAGAGTAACTTAAGGTTAACATTGGAGCTGTAAGTATCTTTTCTGCATTCACATACCACCCTCACCGTGAAAGAGGTTTTTCACTTTTCCTATGTCCCCTTGACCTTTTATCAAAAGCATCCACCATCCTGTATACTCTCAGATAGTTAAATAATTTGGATGGTTACATTAGAATGGCAGTTAAATAAATATTCAAATAAGCTTTCTTTATAGACCCGAGAAGACTAATGACTTCATTAATGTATTTGTAAGTAGCAGAAACAGAGGGTAATCTATGCAGACGTGTTAAACATTTAAATAAGATTCTATGGAAAAGTAAAATTTTAATGCATAGAATTCTTCATCCAATGCAGTTGTAGAATCGGAGGGAGCTTGTTGAGTCATGTTAATCCCATTGGCAGAGAATGCTGTTTGCGATAGTTTGACAGGTTTTTCAGAAAGTGCTAATTATCAATTTGCAGAGCGCTACTCCAGAAAGGTTTTATTCTCCCCAATGCAGACTTTCTCAGAAATAAGACATTTGCAGTTTAAAGTTATTGTTTTTCTTGATTGAAAATCATTTTATGCACAAATATTTGAACTTCAGTATGACCCCCTCCTCAATATAACTGAAATCATAATATGTATATCTAGGTCTTATTAAAGTCAGTCTTCCCTTCAAATCTATGGGGCAGATCCCCAGGTGTATTGACAGCTTTATGCTGCTCCACTGGTATATGTTGGCTGCTGGAGCTGACTAAGAGCTTGTCTAGATTATGAAAATTTGCACCCGTTTGACTATGCTACTGTAGCTACACGAGTGCAATTTTCCCTCCTTTAGACAAGTCCTAACTTGTTCATAAAAGAATCTCCACAATCATAAAGGTAATCCTGCACTGGTGTACAGCTAATCCAAGGGTTGTATAGCACGCACCTTGCTTGCTGCCAGGGTAGCAGGTACAGGGGTGTGATTATTAGAAAGGGAATGTGGTTAGGATCCCTCTACACTATGCAAACCTGTACATGCTCTTCTGTCACTTGGTCCGAGGCAAGCCATTCTGACCTGTAACAAACAGCATGCTGCTAAATAAGCGTACAGATCAGCACCAGGATCAGGGCAAGAAAGTTGTGCTCCACACCTTTACTTTGTGCTTTTTTTTTTGGTGACAATACACAAGAATTTGGCCGTATATCTGCCGTGTGTGTGCGTGTGTGTGTGTGAGAGAGAGAGAGAGAGAGAGAAAACACTTTTAGAATTTACTTTGAGAGCATGATTTCTTCTGTTGATGTTAGTTTATATCTGGATCAACTTTCCAAGTTGATATGCTAAATGGGCATGGTGGGGGTGGTGGGTGAAGAAGAAGGATTATAATATTACCGTATGTTCACACCCAACATCTCAAAGGAAGGCTTTCTTTCCTTTTGAAAACAATGAATTTAAAGCTTTTACAGTTCATGTGCTGTTGACTCTTTTACTACAGCATTAGGTTCTCCTGGTTTCATCTTATTAAGGCTGCATTATAAACAAATAATGTACTTCAATATGGTGTAAAAGCCTTTCAAAGAAAGAAGCGCTTCACCTCCCATTTCCCCCATTGAAATATCCAAACCTTCTCATTGTTCTTTTTAGCAGTGAAGTACTTCAATAGTTAAACTTCCTCAAGGCTTAAGAAGAACTTAATCTTTTTGTGGTCTCTTAAAATGTTTACCACATTTATTACCACTCTTGTATTGTGAATTTGTTATGACATTATGATTTAAGGACAATACAAGGCTGAACTAGGGCATCATTGTATGCTGAATTAGTTTAACCATATACTGGTAATCACATAATTCTAGTCAAAATAGGAGATTGTTAACTACATTAGCTGTGTATGTATATGAAGTTTGAATATTCATTGTACAGCTAAAACATTTAGATGTGCGGGGGGGGGGGGAGAGAAAATCTTGCATAAAGCTTTAGACTTGCGAGAAATCTTTTAAAAAGCTATCGATCGTCATCTGCAACATCACTTGACCAAAGTGGAACCTTGGAAAATTAGCAAAGGCCACATGTGGCCAAGCTCCATGGCAGCCTATAAACTTTGGGTGACTGCAGCCCACAATAAAGAGAAATTATGCTGCCTGAAATTAATAAAATACATCTGGAATGATTTAATTAACCTATATTAAAATGCCTTGTGGGGGGTGGATTAATAGAAGGAATTACAAGTTTTATAAGTGTCAGTTGGCAAGATCCCACAGAGGCAAATTGACCCACTGCCTGTCTCTTTTGGACGTTGCAAAGGAACAAATATATGACAGACCATTTGGTATCTCCATAAGAGGCTTGGAGACAAGTAGAGCAGGGAGATTCACTATCTATACTTGGGGTGGAGGGAATGCGTCATAACACATCTTCAGCCAGAAGCTTATTCAACACCACATAAATCTGTGAAATATTCTTCTAAAGAGAACTAGTCATTTTAAGAGCTGACTTTGTTTTGCAATAGAATGTCCTGTGTTAAAGTTGTGGTACATAATACTATCTAGTACAGGAGCTATAAAGTGAACCCACACAGTTAGATGACTGGCTCAGTGTTAAAATAATATCATCCAGGATGAGAAAAATGGCCTAAGCCATGAAGTTTGAAGCCAAATTTCTATAAAGTTTTGGGCTTTTTGGATCCAGTGTTACGGTGGGCATCCATCAATATATGCAGATGACGTTAATGCAGGTAACAGCTATAATGTCTGTCCATCCCAGGGAAACCAGAGCCCACAGTGTTCTGAAATGGCACTGCTTCTTTCAAGACGGTAAGCCAAAAAAGTAGAATTTGATGATGCTAAACATTTCATTTGAATATGCTTACTTAGGTTAAAAAAAATACCCCCACAACCTTCTATTTAATTTTTTCTCATTTAAACTTTTGACTAAAATATCAAAGCATCTGAGATAAATTGGAAGGTCAAATTTGAAAAGTACATGTTCTAAAGAAAAGCTTCAAAGTATTAAATTACTAAATAAATTGTTTAATAACTTAAGTTTAATCAATTTGTAGGCACCTAGAGAATAGTAGGATTTTAAGGAATAGTCAGCATGGATTTGTCAAGAACAAATCATGTCAAAGCAATCTAATTTCCTTCTTTGACAGGGTTACTGGCTTAGTGGATAGCGGGGAAGCAGTAGGCCTGACATATCTTGATTTTTATTAAGGCTTTTGATGCAGTCCTACATGACATTTTCATAAGCAAACTAAGGAAATATGGTCTAGATGGAATTTCTGTAAAGCGGGTGCAAGACTGGTTGAAAAACTATATACTCAATAGCTAGCTGGCTATCAAACTGGGAAGGCGAATCTAGTGGGATCCTTCAGGAGTCAGTCCTGGGTCTGGTGCTGTTTGCTGTTTTCATTAATGACTTGGATAAACGAGTGGAGAGTACGCTTATAAAATTTGTGGAGGACACCAAGCTAAAAGGGGTTTCAAGCACTTTGGTAGACAGGATTAGAATTAAAAATGTTCTTGACAAATTGGAGAATTGGTCTCAAATCAACAAGATTAAATTCAGTAAAGACAAGTGCAAAGTGCTACACTTAGGAAGCAAAAATCAAGCGCACAACTCAGTCCAAAAAAGGCTAATGTTCTGAGATGTGTTTGCAGGAGTGTCATATGTAAGACACAGGAGGTAAATGCCCACTGTACTCCGCACTCGTGAGGCCTCAGCTGGGATACTGTATCCAGTTCAGGAAAGCAGTGAATAAATTGGAAAGAATCCAGAGGAGAGCAACAATGACCTATGAGGAAAGGTTTTTATAAAAAAAAAGTGAGGAAAAAACCCTTGAAGGAGGGGACCTGATAAATCTTCACATATGTGCAGGGCTGTTATAAAGAGGGCAGTGATCAATTATTCTCCGTGTCCACTGAAGGCAGGACAAGAAGTAATGGTTTTCATCTGCAGTGAGGGAGATTTGGGTTAGATACTACGACAAACTTTCTAACTATAAGA